TTCAATCAAACTTGCAATTTAACTGAAACTATAGTTGCCCGGCCAGTATAACATATCTAAGTTAGCATAAATTTAACTTCACATACAATTCTATCAACAAGTGGCTACGGTCGCTACGTGCTAACAAGCTAATATAACGTAGCCAGCCTGGATACTAAATGCTATGAAAGTTAGCCAACATTAGTTAGTTTATCATTGGACATTATAGCCATTGATTTAATGTCACATTATAAACAACCACCACCAATCTTTCTGTTAACTTACCGTAATGTCTGTGTTGAACTGCGACGTGTCTCTTCAGGTTTGTCGTGTTTTTTCCAGCTACCATGTGGCCACATTCCTTCCCTTCGACTAAAATCAAGCATTTGGTTTTGTTCTCCACTTCAGTGAAGTGAAAATGTGTCCATATATCATGTCTCCTCTTTCTTCCGAGCCCCAGAGTAGGCTACTCTGTGCCGCCCGCTCCAGGTTTGCATAAAATATAAAATGTAATTTTCGTCTCGTCTTTGTTCGTGAACTAAAATGTCCATAGATTTTAGTCCTGTCTTTATTTACCGAACTGCATTTTCGTCTCGTCTTTATTAGTCAATGAAAAATATTTCCGATTTACTCCCAGTTATTGTTTATTAGTGGGGATTCTCGTCTCGTCTAGTTTTCGTTCGGTGAAAAATGTGCGTTGACAAAAATATTTTCGTTTAGTTTTCGTTAACGAAATTAACACTACATTGATATATACGTCATGAAATGAGGACAGATGGACCCAGTATTCAAGGAGAGACAGTCAGTAGGAAAGTTCAAAACGTTTATTAAATAAAACAAAACAAAAGCGGAGCTGTGGCTCTCGGACACTGCAGGCGGGGGGGCGGGGCACCGCCCAATCTCAGACACTCTGTACTGGGAGAAACACAGGTAAGTGACCATGATCATCTGACAGAATATTATCTGAGTTGGTCACTTACCTGGTTTAACAGTCCAGACCAAGAATGTCCCCAAGTGCTGCAGTCCCTGAGGTCATGCTGTAAGCCGATCCTGGTCAGGGATCGAGAACAGACAGGATCCTGATCAGGCACTAACAGAAACAGGTGGCAGGATCCAGACTTCCAGGCATCCACAGGCTCCCAAGGAGGGTTCAGAGTCTGACTGGGACCAGAAGCATGACCAGGTGGTCTCGCACAGGAGCAGACAGGATCAGGTGCAGACAGGCAGGCTCAGTGGAAGAGGGTAGCCGAGACAGGACGTAGAACCGGAACTTGAAGCAGGACTTTAAACTGGTCTCCTCCCTGGAGCCAGGCTTACTGGATAAAAACTGAACCTCCCAACATATTGAGCCAAAAACCCAGAAGACTCCGGGAGGAACAGTGGACGATCAGGAGACGAGACAAACACAAACCCTCTTTCCACTGGCTGCTAGGCTCCAGGACATGAACCATGAACTAAAACTGAAAAGATAGACTAACAAAAAGACAAGTAATGATCTGGCACTGAATGCTCAGGCTGAACTGAATATAAACCAGAGGAAACAGGTGACAGGAATAAATTATAATTGAGGCAGGGAGGAAAAACAGCAGGTGAAACAAATAACCAATTAAGCAGGAGCAAACAGGCCAGATCATGACATTATATACAAAAATGAATATTAGGAACTGTAATTATCAAACATACTGGGCAAGTAAAAATTGTTTCTTGGCAAATGAAATGTGAAAGTCACATTTATATATATATATATATATATATATATATATATATATATATATATATATATACACTATATTGCCAAAAGTATTTGCTCACCCATCCAAATTATTGGAATCAGGTGTTCCAATCACTCCCATGGCCACAGGTGTATAAATTCAAGCACCTAGGCATGCAGACTGTTTTTACAAACATTTGTGAAAGAATGGGTCGCTCTCAGGAGCTCAGTGAATTCCAGCGTGGAACTGTGATAGGATGCCACCTGTGCAACAAATCCAGTCGTGAAATTTCCTCGCTCCTAAATATTCCACAGTCAACTGTCAGCTGTATTATAAGAAAATGGAAGTGTTTGGGAACGACAGCAACTCAGCCACGAAGTGGTAGGCCACGTAAACTGACGGAGCGGGGTCAGCGGATGCTGACGCGCATAGTGCGAAGAGGTCGCCAACTTTCTGCAGAGTCAATCACTACAGACCTCCAAACTTCATGTGGCCTTCAGATTAGCTCAAGAACAGTGCGCAGAGAGCTTCATGGAATGGGTTTCCATGGTCGAGCAGCTGCATCCAAGCCATACATCACCAAGTGCAATGCAAAGCGTCGGATGCGGTGGTGTAAAGCACGCCGCCACTGGACTCTAGAGCAGTGGAGACGCGTTCTCTGGAGTGACGAATCGCGCTTCTCCATCTGGCAATCTGATGGACGGGTCTGGGTTTGGCGGTTGCCAGGAGAACGGTACTTGTCTGACTGCATTGTGCCAAGTGTAAAGTTTGTTGGAGGGGGGATTATGGTGTGGGGTTGTTTTTCAGGAGCTGGGCTTGGCCCCTTAGTTCCAGTGAAAGGAACTCTGAATGCTTCAGCATACCAAGACATTTTGGACAATTCCATGCTCCCAACTTTGTGGGAACAGTTTGGAGCTGGCCCCTTCCTCTTCCAACATGACTGTGCACCAGTGCACAAAGCAAGGTCCATAAAGACATGGATGACAGAGTCTGGTGTGGATGAACTTGACTGGCCTGCACAGAGTCCTGACCTCAACCCGATAGAACACCTTTGGGATGAATTAGAGCGGAGACTGAGAGCCAGGCCTTCTCGTCCAACATCAGTGTGCGACCTCACAAATGCGCTTCTGGAAGAATGGTCAAAAATTCCCATAAACACACTCCTAAACCTTGTGGACAGCCTTCCCAGAAGAGTTGAAGCTGTTCTAGCTGCAAAGGGTGGACCGACGTCATATTGAACCCTATGGATTAGGAACGGGATGTCACTTAAGCTCATATGTGAGTCAAGGCAGGTGAGCAAATACTTTTGGCAATATAGTGTATATATATATATATATATATATATATATATATATATATATACACTATATTGCCAAAAGTATTTGCTCACCTGCCTTGACTCACATATGAGCTTAAGTGACATCCCGTTCCTAATCCATAGGGTTCAATATGACGTCGGTCCACCCTTTGCAGCTAGAACAGCTTCAACTCTTCTGGGAAGGCTGTCCACAAGGTTTAGGAGTGTGTTTATGGGAATTTTTGACCATTCTTCCAGAAGCGCATTTGTGAGGTCGCACACTGATGTTGGACGAGAAGGCCTGGCTCTCAGTCTCCGCTCTAATTCATCCCAAAGGTGTTCTATCGGGTTGAGGTCAGGACTCTGTGCAGGCCAGTCAAGTTCATCCACACCAGACTCTGTCATCCATGTCTTTATGGACCTTGCTTTGTGCACTGGTGCACAGTCATGTTGGAAGAGGAAGGGGCCAGCTCCAAACTGTTCCCACAAAGTTGGGAGCATGGAATTGTCCAAAATGTCTTGGTATGCTGAAGCATTCAGAGTTCCTTTCACTGGAACTAAGGGGCCAAGCCCAGCTCCTGAAAAACAACCTCACACCATAATCCCCCCTCCACCAAACTTTACACTTGGCACAATGCAGTCAGACAAGTACCGTTCTCCTGGCAACCGCCAAACCCAGACCCGTCCATCAGATTGCCAGATGGAGAAGCGCGATTCGTCACTCCAGAGAACGCGTCTCCACTGCTCTAGAGTCCAGTGGCGGCGTGCTTTACACCACCGCATCCGACGCTTTGCATTGCACTTGGTGATGTATGGCTTGGATGCAGCTGCTCGACCATGGAAACCCATTCCATGAAGCTCTCTGCGCACTGTTCTTGAGCTAATCTGAAGGCCACATGAAGTTTGGAGGTCTGTAGTGATTGACTCTGCAGAAAGTTGGCGACCTCTTCGCACTATGCGCGTCAGCATCCGCTGACCCCGCTCCGTCAGTTTACGTGGCCTACCTCTTCGTGGCTGAGTTGCTGTCGTTCCCAAACACTTCCATTTTCTTATAATACAGCTGACAGTTGACTGTGGAATATTTAGGAGCGAGGAAATTTCACGACTGGATTTGTTGCACAGGTGGCATCCTATCACAGTTCCACGCTGGAATTCACTGAGCTCCTGAGAGCGACCCATTCTTTCACAAATGTTTGTAAAAACAGTCTGCATGCCTAGGTGCTTGAATTTATACACCTGTGGCCATGGAAGTGATTGGAACACCTGATTCCAATAATTTGGATGGGTGAGCAAATACTTTTGGCAATATAGTGTATATCATAGCCACAGCTGCCCCTTGGGCACCCGGACAGAGGTAAGGCTACTATAAAATAAATTAGGTGTCCCTGGGCCCTTTGAAGAACAGGAAGAAATGCCAGTTTGGTGTCTTGCACAGGAACACAACAACAGAGAAAGATTGATCAGTGGCCAAACGGGCAACCCACTGGTTACAGGAGGTTCTCCTACCTCCTGGGTCAACAGGGTCAAATGTGTAATTGTACTGTGCTCCATTAAAGAACTTCTATTATTTTTTCTTAAAAAACAAAACAAAAAAAAACATAAAAATTATTAGAGAAAGGCACATTTTAGCTCAGGGTTATTACTAAGATTTCCCGACGTTTAAGTAAAAGGGATATGTAAACAACCTGAAAGGTCAACAAGTATTCAGTTTCTACAAAACCAAAGGAAAGGATTGTACAAATTGGTGTAAATAGAATAATAACCAGTTATAATAATAATTTTGTCAGGTGCAAATTGGAGAAAAAGGCTGATTTAGAGAAAAGACAAAAGCATGAACTTAGAGTAAACATTTGATGAAGATAAAAATGTAAAGTAATAAATTAATGTAATGTAATAAATTAAGTACTGTATGTTTAATGTCTGGTTTAACTATACATTTACTAAATGCATTGTACCATAATTTTTTGGATAGAAATAACAGAAAAAATCTTAGAACAAAAAATTAATTGTTATCACAGCTTCATATTGGAAAAATCTCCTTGATATATTTTACCAGAAATTATGATTTTAAAAGCATTTCTGAACCACCTGTAGAAGAAAGCATAAACCAAAGGATTTAACATAGAATTGGACCATCCAAGCCATTTAAATGCTCCAATCACCACAACTGGTATTGTGAGCCTCCCCATACTGTATAAACCAGCTGATAAAAAGTAAGGAGACCAACATATGAGGAAGACTCCCAACACTACAGCCAGAGTTATGTTTGCTTTTGTCTCAATCTTAAAAAGAGCCCCTTGAGACTTTAAAGTGTTTTGTATGTGCTTTGCCTGCTGCTTTGCCAACATCAAAATCTTAAGATATATTGCTAAAATTGTCATGGCAGGAATGTAAAAGGCCAAAGTTGTTCCAGGGCTGGAATCTTTTGTCGCTACAAATATCTTGCACCTCCAACTATAATTTTCTTCCCCACGAAATGAGATGCTGATTGAAAATAGAGCTGGGAAAGTCCAACTCACTAGGATCATAGTAAGGGTGACACAAATATTAATTTTACTTTTATATGTCAGAGGATGACAGACTGCGTAATATCTATCTATTGATATACAGCACAAGTTTAAAATGGATGACGCACATAGTAATATGTCAAGCAGACCTCGCATTTTACAGAGTAAATAACCTGAATACCAGCATGAGCTCATAGACAATATTGCACTGAAAGGCAAAACTTACCCCTTGCTCACACTGGCTCTGGTGCGGTTACCGAGCCGACGGAGACTGCAACTCCCGCACACCCTCTCTCACACCGCCCTTTTGACTACGGTGCGGTGCGGCTCCGGCAACAGGTCCGGAGATTTAACAGAAGTTCACTTGAGTTCACGTAACTTCACGCGATAACACGGCCCAAATAAGGATATTTGCGAGAGCTTGTTGCGGAGGGCTCCGGCACGCCGCAAGGGTAGCTTTCTTGTGGAATTTTCTGCAGCGCCGGAGTGTCTCGGTAACCGCAGCCGGACAGCTCAGCAGCCGGTGAGAGAGGTTTACATCTTTTTAATGACTTGGAATCACTGCGGCGCCGCACCCACCGCACCGCAACGGTAAGACCGGAGTCAGTGTGAGCCTGGTGTAAAGCTCCAACAAGCAGGTCAGTCACAGCCAGAGAAAGGATGAGATAGTTTGTTGGAGTGTGCAGCTGTTTGAAGTAAATTACAGAGATGATTACAAGAAGATTACCACATATTATCAGAAGTGACAAAGAAACAACCACTACATCTAGTACATAAGACGTCACAGTTTGTCCATGCAGCTGTGCCGATTCATTGCAGAGATGATGGTCTTTAACCATGTCATCAATTCTGTTGAAAAAAAAAAAAAAAAAACTAAAATTACAACAAATATACTTGTATTTTTTTTAGATTTGTTTCGTTGAAAAAGATTTTAGATTTTTATGTTTCACTTTAATCTTGAACAACAGAGTGTTGTGAATCTTTACTCTGTCCTGATGGAGCAGCACATTTACATTGATATTTATTATTGCAGCAACATGTGATCATTGGCGCAACTGTTAGTGTCTTTGGTATCCAAGGTGAGATGTTCCCTGGTGTTACACACCAAATTTACTTTTCTGTGCTAATCATATTGTACCTTTTTGCTTTGTTTCTCATTCCTTTATTTTTGTTTTTCAATATTTGCTGTAAAAAGAAACAATGTTTTAATTACCATTTTAGGATCTCTAAAGAAATGAACTCCAATAAAAGCATTGCTTGAAAAAAGATTTTCTTAAAAATAAGATATGAAAGCATCACATATTTTTATCTAATAAAATATAGCCTTTAAAAACTCAATGTTCATTTATTGGTTTCCTTTTTGCAGTTGATACATATTACTTTGTTGATGTTTCAACTTATTCTTAAACTGTAAATATAGGAGAATCATGTGTTCTGACTGACATTTATGTCAACAGGATGGAGAGAGTGTTTTACATATAATAAAATGTTCACTAAATAAAGTGATCGTAACATGAAAATAATACATTCAAAATAGGCTTAATACACACATTAAGAAAACTACTGATTTCAATAGATGATGGAGTTAAAGTAGGTTTTCAAACATGAAATAAAAAATAGCAGATACTGGAACCTGCTTAAGAACGAGACTCCCCACGTTTAGTACTAAGACATGTCTATGGAATGTGCTAGAACACTGTTTCTCATTTCCTGGCAGTGTTGTCAAAAGTACACACATTTATTACTGAAGTAGAAGTATAGATACTGCAGTTAAAAAACACTCTGGTAAAAGTTAAAGTATCAACTTGACTTCTTTACTCAAGTAAAAGTGAAAAAGTAAGTGTTCAAAAAACAACTTAAAGTATAAAAGTATAAAGTAACTTAAAAAAAAAAAACCAGCCAGATGCCACTACATCAATTGAAAGCTCAATTTTTTGACTGTTTCAAAAAAATTCTTTGAGATAGGGCCAAGGATGAGGGAGGTCTTGTTGGCTCCACTTCCATCTCCCGATACGCTCTCGCCTGTGTCCGACCTTTCAGACATTTCAACATTTTTTTCTGAATCCAACATTGCAGCATGGCATAGACAATTCACGTTTGCAGTTTGAAGAACACCTGCTTGCTTCTGATGATTTTCTTTAGCTAACCAATGAGTGTTTGCGTTATATGACTCATCCAAGTACACTAGTTTTCACTAGATGTGGATGGCGCCAATGATCTGCATTGGATGGTGCACATGACTGAAATAAATATTTATAAACATAAAACCGAAGCCAAATGTAATGAGTAACGTTTGTTTTAAAAATGTAAGGAATAGAAAGTACAGATACTTGTGCGAAAATCTAATGAGTAGAAGTCAGAAGTAGGAAGAAAAATACGTAATGGAGTAAAGTATAGATACCTAAAAAGTGTGCTTAAGTACAGTATGTCATGATGGGCCTTATATTTTTTGCCCACATGCAGAAACACTCACAGAGAGCGGTTCAGTGTTAAAAAGTTTGTTTTTCAGATACAAAAACACGGTGACAGAAAACAGGTATCTCAGCTTGGGGCTGTTCCAGCGACCAGGAAACCTGGAGCGACTGCACAAAGGAGAGAGTGACTTGGTGAGTTCAAGGTTGGTGGTAAAAAAGGCTGATGACTGAAACTCAGATGTTGCATGGACTCAGAGTTTGAGTTGGAAAACGGTCTGGGGTTCCCGTTTGTGGAGGCCTAGGCTGGTTGTTGGTGGAGGAGTCGTTGGAGGTCGGACAGGAAGACTTATGGAGGAAACAGAGCAAGAGCAGAGCAGACTGTCAACTGGGTTTCTGGAAGAGGTAGGCGTTCAGATAAGGTGAACAGTGAGACCCTCAGCGTCATGAGAGGAATCCTTCCAGGGCTTGAAGGACCAGATTAAACTCCGAGGATCTGTAGATTTCCCCAAAACTGGCAAACACTCTGGTGACGAGGTGGTGACAGTCAGCTGCTCAAATACTCCTCAGAGGTGATGACCAATTAGCTGCAGATGTGGGTAATTGAGACGAGAAAGGAAGCCCCCCAGGACAGAGCGAACCAATGACACCATCTGATGGATGAACGATGAAACTGAAAAAGAACACAAAACTACCCCCACAAACTGGAACCACAACACAGTAATGTAGTATTTGTACTTAATTACTTGACAGCTCTGTTTCCTTGTCCTCAAGTTTCACTGCGGTGCATGTTTTTATTTGAAAAAATTGCATCTGAGATTGAAAAATTGTACACAACTGGTATATTGAGGCCTTTACTTCGATGATACAAATCCTGGGGCTGTACATCCCATGACCTTTGGTGGAACAGGAAGTAAAGACAAATTAAAAAGTCAGCCCTCTGTCCTCTTAACAACATAGACTTAGACTTAAAAACAACTTTATTTATCCCTTGGGATTACTCCTTCAGGGAGATTCTGGCTCCAGTAGCTTATGTAGTGTACACAGAGTTAAAGCAAGATACCATTAAAAATAAAAATTCGACAAACAACATAAAAAGATTTTATATAGTACAAAAAAACCATGAAAAAATAAACGCATATCAATATATATACATATATATATATATATATATATATATATATATATATATATATATATATATATATATATATATATATATATATATATATATATATATATATAGACAGAGCTGTTCATGCAGCCAGCCCCTCAGTCTCCACAAGAGCCTCCATCTCATGCCCTACATGAGATGGAGGTGAATCAGTCCATTCAACATGACAACTTGTGTTTGATTAAGGTGTTCATTGACATCTGTAAAGGTTCAGACACTGGAAGAACTAACGTCCTGGTATTATTGGACCTCAGTGCAGGTTGTTTGATACTGTTTATGGCTCGATTTTATTAGAGCGTCTGGAAATCTGGGTAGGCCTTTCTGGTACTGCACTTGACTGGTTAAAATCCTTACCTGAAGGATAGGGACTTTAACGTGTCAGTAGGGAACATTAAATCAGAGAGCAGAAAAATCACATGTGGGGTTCCAACAGGCTCCATTCTAGGGCCCCTCCTATTCAACATCTACATGCTCCGCTTGGCTCAGGTAATTGCAAACAACTAGATTAGTTGCCATAACTGTGCAGATGACTCACAGCTTTACATCACAATGTCATCAGGTGACTATGAAACCATCGACTAGATGCATAGAACAGATCAATATGTGGATGCACCATCATTTTCTCCGAATGAATAAAAACAAAACTGAGGTCATATTTATGCACCAGAGGAGGAGAGATCCAGAGTTAGCTCTCAGCTTCAGCTATTACAGTAAAAAACTACTGATTATGGCTGAACTCTTTGTGTAGTGATGGACTCAGACCTGATCACTGCCACTGAATGGAGCCGATCACTGCCACTGAACAACATCTTGCCTGAAACCGAGGCAGAGCAACTCAGAATGAAAATAACAGCTACCCACAGGAAAGGAAAGCCATGACATCCCTTAGCCAGGACCAAAGCATCACAATATTACCAAGAGATCCAACCAACACCTACAAAAAGAAAATCATGGACTACCTCAAGAAACTTAAAACAAAAGGTAATTAACCATTCAGCTTATTTTAGATTGTATCCAGGGGATGACATTCCATGCTTATATGAATGTTCCAAAAATTCACAAGGAAGGAACACAACTCAGACCCATTGTCAGTGTTGTGAAAAACTTTTATATTCAATTCCCAGCCATCTGGGAATTCATATTATGTTCTGATACCTTAAGATGTTTACTTCACTCCACGGTAGGCAGAACACCCTCTCATTCACCGGGTTGAAACCCAATGTACAGGCACCAAGATGAGGGGCAGCAATTTTGTCCACTCCTGCTTGGCACCTCTCACCAGGGGCAACTCCAGAGTGGAACACTGCTTCCAGAGCCAGAGCCATGCGTCGAGGTAAGTTCAGCTATCCCTAGCCGGAACCTTTCAACCTCATGCACTAACTCCTTCCCCACCAGAGAGGTGATATTCCACGTCCCAAGAGCCAGCTTCTTCAGCCGAGGATCAGAACACCAAGGTCCCCACCCTTGACTGCCACCCATCACACATTGCACCCGAGCCCTTTGGCCCCTCTTACAAGTGGTGAACCCATTGGAAGTGGGACACATGTTTCCTCTCAGGGCTGTGCCCAGCTGGGCTCCATGGGTAAACCCGGGCACCAGTCGCTCGCCAGCGTGTCCCATCTCCAGGCCTGGCTCCAGAGTGGGGCCCCAGTGACCCTTGTCCGGGCGACGGAACACTAGTTACATTTGTCTTGCTCATCATAAGAGGTCTTTAGGCTGCTCATTGTCTGGTCCCTCATCTAGGAACTATCTGCCTTGGGTGACCCTACTAGGGGCATAGAGCCCCCAGACAGCATAGCTCCTAAGGTCATTGGGACACTCAAACCCCTCCACCACAATAAGGTGGCAGCCCTGGGAAGGGTTTATTTTAGAAAAAGAGAGATTGGAATTAATTCCAAACATTTTTGAGAAGTATGCATGTGTGTATATTTTAAGTATAACCACTATCGATAAAAATTCAAATCTCATAAAGAATGAAAAAAAAAGAAGCAGCCTTTTAACCTTGGTGCAGTGCTTTAAAGGAATAGTACACCCAAAACATGATTAGCCTTCATTTTCTACTCACCCCCATGCTGAACAACACTCTGGAGTACTTTTTTGATATCTCAAATGCATCTGGAGATCTGAGAGGCTTCTTGCTGTCTGCTGACATTCAAATAATGGAGGTCTATGGTGACCGAGACAGAAAGGTCCATAAAAGTCCACAAAAAACGTGTCAATATTCCTCCATACTGCTCGTCCAATGTATTCCAAGTGTCCTGAGTGGGTA